GCAAGTTTTAAAACGAAATCTTCCTGGAAATTTATGTGCATTTTTTATATTTATTTTCATATTTAAATAGTAAAATACATTAAAGTGAAAATATAATAAGCAAATAGCGAATGACGAGACTCCCTGACGATGCCGACTACGATGACAGCAAAACGTCTGGGAATGTACCACGTCCACAGTCCTGCTATGGATATGATGATGCATACAATGGACTCCGGACTAGGTGCATTCCTCTAAGTCTTCCTACCAATATGACCAATTTGCGAAAACAAGGTCAAACAACTTCTATAATAACCAAGGTTTTGTGATTTCCTGCAGTAAGTCGCAGGAATAACAACTTTTGAGATTTATCCTTTAGCCAGCTAAGCGTCATTCTGTTTTTGCTTCTAACTATTTTGCAAATCTCTTAGTGATGGGAAATATCCTTAGTTCTCCCTGCATGCATATTTTAGAACAACTAATAATCATTGTTATAAGTAGACAGTGGAATGGAAGGTGAAGAGATTCGTCGGTCAATCTCCCCATAAGACGCCAGCTGCTTGGCGTTGTACCGCAGCCATTTGGGGCCAATACGACGCTTAGGCTGATGAAGTCAACGAGACATCCTCCAACCTTTTGGGGGAAGACGGGCTGAGTTTTCGTTAGGCATTGACAAACCTCGTTAGAGCTGGGACTCATTATCACAAAAGCCTCAAGTCAATGCTAAGACAAGAAAAGTTGGAGGATGTCTCGTGGACTTCATCAACTTGAACGTCGCAGCCAAAACGGCTGCAGTACAACGCAAATCAGCCGTTGCCTTCTGGTTAGATTGACCTAAGAATCTCTTTATCGTATACTTCCATACTGAATGAAAGTCATCACAACAATAAAAACTTTAAATTTAAAGTCAGTTAAAAAATTGCATGTCATTAAAAGTGAATTTAAGAGAGGAAATTGGATATTTGACTTTTTTCAATTGACTGCTTAAATCAGTTTTGCTCAATAAGTATAAGGGCATCTTAAAGTGAGGTCATAATTTTTTTCACGACTATTTTAACAATAAAAATATTGGGCCTCATTCTGAAATCATACCTGACGTTCATTGAATTCATTGTTTTCATACACCCGGTTCGCTTCCAGCTTAATCATTAATGTCTGTGCAATGAGCTCGCAATTTGCTTTGATCTCCAAGTTTGCCTGTTTGTATTCGTCTACCTTCGATTGCAGTCGGCATGCATGAATTCGGCAGTCATTGACGAATAGCTCAACCATACTGCGTACAGACCAGTGGATCTTTGAGAAGCCAGGTGTGATCTTCTTGTCAAGAATTTTAATGCGCTCGCGGAAGAGCAGGCGCTCCTCACCGTTCAGCAAGTTCATTATGCGATTATAGTCACGGCATATGACCAGACAGAGCTGGTAAAGGTAGTGAAGTTCAAGAGTGCGTCGCTGAGCTTCAGCAGCATAATGAGGCACCTCACTACCTAGACGTATCCAGTAGTGCAGTTCGTTAAGCAACCGAAACAGCCCAGAGCTAGCATTCGGCTCAATACGTCCAGCAATTTGATTACTGCGGGCCAGAATTGCGGAATCCAAGCACTTTAGAGGGTCCTGACATTGTTAAAATTTTGTACATTTAGGGAGAGATAAGCGTCTTCAGAAATCATATAAATACCAATCTACTAAAAAAATGCGATATATGAACATTATTGACCATATAATCTACTATAATCTACTATAATAATATAACCTACTATATAATCTACTAAAAAATGCGATATATGATCATTTTTGACCATATCATATTTTACTAACAGGACAGAATATTTTTGATTATCCAATTAGCAAAATATGTCGTATTTAATACAATCTCGTAGCCAGCTTGTAATCATGCCCAAAAGCTGAACGATCTAATAGCCTTATCTTCTTTCTCCATGACTCTAATCCCCAAAAGTTATTGATAATCTTTTGTATTAAAAGATCATCTATCGTCGGAACTGCTGACTTTGAAATTAGTGTTAAATTCAATGTAATTCTTAGATTTATAATGCTAATCTGCGAATCGCAGTAAGGCTTTACTAGATGTTGAGCGTCAATGAGGAATGGCTTATGCAAACAACTCCATATAACTTAATTAACCTACTAAAGGCATTGCAGGAATGCGAAACTTTATATCACTGTATGAAGCGACAAATATTGGTTATTAAAAAGGTGAAAACAAAAATAAAGGGATGACATTAATAAATTTTTGTCTCTGACTGTAATCTTC